GGATTATATGTCCTTTGTCTATGTTTCTGAGTTGCTCTCAATTTTTCTGTTTCATTTACATATTTATATATATATTTTTTTACGAAAGTCATTTACTTAATAGATCTAGCCTTTCCCTCAAGTCTGTCTTTCCATGTCACTGACATCCTTCCACAACATGATTTTAATGGCTGTGTTGCTGTATGCCATTGAATTGATCCTGACTCATAGCAATCCTATAGGACAGCGTAGAACTGCCCCATAGGATTTCCAAGGCTATCATCTTTATAGGAGCTCTGGTAGCATAGTGCCTAAGGCACTTGACTGCTAACCAGAAGGCTGGCAGTTCAAACCCACCAGCCACTCCTTGGAAGGAAGAGGGGGCTATCTACTTCCATATTGATACTGCCTTGGAAACCCAAGGAGGGGTTGCTATGAGTCGGGGCCGACTCGACGGCACATAACAACAACATCATCATCTTTATGGCAGCAGACTACCACATCTTTCTTCTGTAGCTGGTGGATTTGAACTGCTGACCATTTGGTTAGCAGCTGAATGCTTTAACTATTGTACCACCAGAACTCCTGTTTCTTGGTAGATACCCAATAAAATGAGGTGAATGACAAGTAAATTTCAACAAGACCATATGGGACGTAATTTATAATGGTTCTGGATAATAATAGGAATGGCATAGTAGATAAGGCATTTGGTTGCTAACCAGAAAGTCAGCAGTTCAAACCCACCAGCCGCTTCTCAGAAGAAAGATGGGGTGATCTACTTCCATAACGATTTACTGCCTTGGAAACCCAGTGAGTTGCAATTGACTCGATGGCAGTGAGGTTTTTTTTTTTTTTTAATTATTTTCCTGTATCTTCCCTGTCTCTCTAAATGGCACTGCCACCCATCAAGTTATTAGAGGTCCAAGCTGGGAGTTACATTTGATTCCTTCCTTTCTTATCTGCTCCTTATTAGTTATTTTTTGCTGTGTAAGTAATTATTCCAAAACCCAGTGGCTTAAGACAACCACCAGTATTAGGCTCACTCGCAGCTCCCCTGGGGCAGGACTTGGTGAGTCTGACTTGGTCTTGGGTGGGCCTGGGGGTTTTGCATTTCCCCTAAGCTCCCAGGTGATGATGCCCATGCTGCTGCCTCTTTGAGTAGCAAAGTGACTCTACCACTTGTTTTTAAATTTGGCTGAATCTGGTTTTGGTTTTGGTGGAACTCTTCAGCCCAATGAATGTTTGGAGTCCTCCTCCAGGGATTCCAGTTTAATCTGTCCAGGATGCTGAGTATTGGAATTTTTAAACACTTCCTAAGTGGTTCTAATTTATACAAATTTGAGAACCACTGGACCATGTGGCACTGGCTCTATTTTAAACAAAGCACAATAAGTAATAAGTGCTCTGCAGGGCTCTGGTGACTTCTTTTTAAAGTCAGTCTTGCAGCTATAGAGAGAGTGGCCAAGCCCTGGATGACTCCAGGTTTCTGTTTGGTAGGACCGGTCCATTTCTCCGGCATCTCTTGTGCATGCTGCTACATTGTGGCAAATACAGAATTCCACCTTCCTTTGCCAGAGTTGTTGTTTCAAGTTCAGGCGTACCTCATTTTATTGCACTTCACTTTACTGTGCGTCACAGATACTCCATTTATTGAACTTCATGTCTCCGTGTCCCATTTTGGTCATTCTCACAATATTTCACACTTTTTCATCATGCTATTGCACACTTCATAAACTACAGTGAAGTGGGCCATAACATTTATAGGCACTGAGAAACCAAAAAATTCATGGGACTTGCTGGATTGTGATCTTTGCTTTGTTGTGGTGGTCTGGACCTGAACCTGTAAAATCCCCAAGGCCTGTCTGTACAGTTGCAGTAAGCACACAGACATTTTTCTGCTGACGGCAAGGTTGAGTAAAGAGGGCCTCTGGCTGCGTGTATTTGAGCAGCGGCAGAGCAAGGGGCTGAAGCAGAGATGCTCTCCATCAATTTTTTTCTCATCATTTCCAGCATGTTCTCATGCATTGCTTTTGGGTCAGTCACTGTTTTGGTCCTCTAGTGCCACTCTAACAGAAAATAACCACAAGTGAGGGCTTTAACAAATAGGGATTTATTCTCTTACAGTTTTAGGGGCTAGACGTCTGAGTTCAAAGTGCCAGCTCTAGAGGCTGGATAAGGGCCTCTCAAACTTGGGCTTCAGCTCTGCCTCTCACTCCCAGCCCATTGGCGTTGGAGGCATCTCTTAACTCAGGCTGCTGCTGGCTATTGAGGCTGACAAATGCAAGGTCAACAAGTAAAATGGCACAGTCCTAAGATTATCAAGCAACATGATAGGCCACTAGTTCAAGTCCAGAAACAGTACCAAGATTGGCAGACAACATGGCAGGGTGCTGAATGAAGACTTGAGAGCTCTGCTGGCGTAGTGCCTAAGGCATTTGACTGCTAACCAGAAGGCTGGAGGTTCAAACCCACCAGCCACTCCTCGGAAGAAGAGTGGGCAATATACTGTAGAGATACTGCTTCAGAAACTCAAGGAGGGGTCACTGTGGGTCGGGACCGACTCGACGGCAGTGAGTAGTGAATGAAGACTTGGCTACATGCAGTGTCCAACCATGCCAAAAAGCTCAGAGACCTTTCTCAAAGCGCCTTCTTCTATACTAGAAGCAGACCACATCCTTAAGGCAGCTACTGAGCCTCTCACAGTAGAGTCCACCATGGAATTGATTACCAGTCTCATCATGGGGAATAACTGCATCTAGCTGCCCAGTCACTCAAAACCAGGTCCAGCCAAGTTGATGTACAACCTTAACTACCACAGTAACAAAACTAAAAACATTTTGTGTGGTTCAGGCTAACCCCTTGGTCATCAAAAGCAGACAAGACACTCAGACTACTGCAAATCAATGAGGCAGATCCAATTGACAGGTTAATTGAGAGCTAAAAGAAAGGAGCTCTGGTGGTGCTATGGTTAAGGCCTTGGGATGCTAACCAAAAGCTAGGTGATTTTAACCCACCAGCTGCTTGATGGGAAGAAGATGAGGCAATCCACTTCTGTAAAGACTTACAGCATTGGGAACCCAATGGGGGTCACTATGAGTGGGAATCAACTCGATGGCAATGGAATTTTTGGTTTTAGATGTTCTCTGGTCACCTAGTGCCACTCTGACAGGAACATACCACAAATGGGATGGCCTTAACAAACAGGAGTTTATTCTCTCATAGTTTGGAGGCTTTAAGTCCAAGTTCAAAGTGCCAGGCTCTAGGGGCTGGGTGAAAGCCCCTCAACCTTGGTCTTCAGGTCTGCTTCCTGCTCCCGGCCCACTGAAGCTGGAGCTTTTCTTCACTCAGCTGCTGGCTGCTGAGGCTGAGAAGCCAAGGTTGACAAGTAAAAAGGCACAGTCCCAATGTTACCAAACCACATGGCAGGCTGTTAGTTTAAGTCAATTGAAAGTCCCAATGTCGGCAGAGTATGGCAAGCTGCTGAACAACGATAGGGCTACATGCAGGGTTCAAGCATGCCATAAGCCATTCCCAAAGCTGCTTCTTATATACAGGAAACAGACCACGTACCCAAAGAAGTTATTCAGTTGATTATGGTAGATCCACCATGGAGGTGATTGCCAGTCTCATCATGGGGAATAACTTCCACCAGCTGCCCAGCCACTCAACCAGGCCCAGCCAAGTTGATGCACAACCTTAACCACCACAAAATGTAAGGGAGCTCTGGTGACATAGTGGCTAAAGGACTTTGCTACTAACCAAAAAAGGTCAGTGGTTCAAACTGCAGCAGAAACGTGTCAGTCTTCTGGAAAGATTATAGCTGTGGAAGCCTTATGGGGTAGTTCTACTCAGATACACGCGGGGTTGCTGTGAGTTGGAATCAACTCAATGGCAACTGGTTTATATTGAAAACAACAAAACCAGAACCCAAACATGCATACATTTCAGAGTAGAACTGTGTGTCACAGGATTTCCTTGGTTGTAATTTTTATGGAAGCAGATTGCCAGGCCTTTCTTTTGTGGAGCCACTGGATGGTTTTGAACCACCACTATTTAGGTTAGCACTGATGACAAACCAATCCCACCACCTGACCCACCAAATTGCCAAGTGATTCATTCTGTTTTAACAGAGCGAGGACACTTTCCCATTGAAATCTCTTCAGTCCTTGCTATCTGGATTCAGTTTTGTTTTGTTTTTCCCTGACTGGTCTAGATTGGACGACTGATCATTGGACAGAATGGCATCTTGTCAACTCCTGCTGTCTCCTGCATTATCAGAAAAATCAAAGCAGCTGGGGGGATCATCCTAACAGCCAGCCACTGCCCTGGAGGCCCAGGAGGACAGTTCGGAGTCAAGTTTAATGTTGCCAATGGAGGTACGTGTGCCAGGACATGACTTGATTTCTTTTCTATTCTCCTAGTCCTACAGTAACCTTCAAGGTCCCTAGGTGGTGCAAATGGTTTGCACTCATCTATAACTTAAAGTTTGGCAGTTTGAACCCACTCAGTGGCAACATGCAAGAAAGGCCTGGAGATCTGCCTCCATAAAGATTATAGCCAAGAAAACTGTGTGGGGCAGCTTTGCTCTGTAATGTACAGGGTTGCCATGAGCTGGAATCAACTCAACAGCAATGGGTACAATAACCCTCTGATGATAGACAAGAGAGGTAGAAGGGGAATGGTGACCAAACCCAGCAAGCTACCCAAGGAGATCTGACAAGGAAGTGGCTTAGGGGGATTTAGAATCCTTCTGGATTCTTGGTCCCCTGTACTCCTCAGCACAGTGAACTATTGAAGAGTTGATAAAAGAACTCTGGATTTTAAAGTTTCAACATTCTCTTAGGTCACTGAGAGCATTTTCATCTTCTAACTTTACAGATGTACAAAACGAAGCCCTGAGTGGCCAAGTTACCCAGTCACAACCACAGGGCTGGTTTTTAGCCTAAGTCCTGAATTCTCTTTTTCCTATAGTGCTGACTTTGTTTTACTGAAATCCGTAAAATTATTTTACTTTTTTCCCCTTATGTATCCCCAGAACTTTGTAGTCTGTAAGTCCCAGTGGGCTAGCCTGTTGATATTGAGTTGATTCTGACTCATGGTGAGTCTATAGGACACCGTGGAACTGCCCCATAGGGTTTCCAAGGCTGTAAATCTTTATGGAAGCAGATTGCCAGGTCTTTCTCCCATAGAGCAGCTGGTGGGTTTGAACTGCCAACTTTTTTGGTTAGCAGCCAAGCACTTAACCACTGTGCCACCAGGGCTCCTTTCCTAGTAGGTTAGGGTGTGGGTATAGGGGTAAATTTCATTTTTCAATTCGAACATATGTAAAAGTAATATATGGATATTCATGTATCTGTTGCCTTGTTTTGCCATTTTGCTTCTTTTATTTTTCTGAAGGATTTTAATATATATGACTGTACCAAGACATATGTCATACCTAAACATTTCTGTCTACATTGCTGAAAAAGACATTATCTTTTTACATAACTACATTATCACACCTAACAAAAATAACACTCATTCTTAAATGCCATCTAACATAGAATCTAAAGTCAAACTTTCCCAGTTGTTCCCAACATGTTATTTACAGATGGTTTGATCAAACCAGGATTCATCACAGAACCATGCATTGTGTTTGGTGAAGTCTTCTAATCTGGAGCACCAAATCTGTGTGTGTATGTAGGTGGGAGCTGCATTTTAACAAGTTACCATTGAAGAAAGGATCTGGCCTCCTGGAAGCTGTTTTACTTTTGGAAACTAGCATGCTTTGATATTAAAACTCAGCTAGAGAACTCTTTTTTTAAAGATGGTGTACACAGCCAAAGATGCGTGTGGTTTATAGGGGCCAGGACTATATTCATGCACTCTCGAATCTGGCAAGCATTAAAAAGAAAAGCCAAAAAAAAAAAAAAAAGAAAAAGAAAAGCAAGCAAAAATAAACAAGACACTACTTTTTAAGTTTTGCAAAGGGTGAAAAATGGGAAAGAGTGAAGGAAAAGGGCTATTGTATTTCTTCAGGATCTTTACTTTTCCTATAAGGCAAGAACATTATGGGTAATATCTGTGAGGCCTTCTGGTCTCCACCTACTGTCATGGAACTATTCTTTTTTCTATATGGTGCTCTGCTCTAAGGCAGCGCCATCCAATAGAAATATAATGAATCACATATCTAATTTTAAATCTTCCAGTAGCCATGTGAAGAAAAGTAAATAGAAACAGGTACAATTAATACCATATTTCATTTAACCAAATCTACCCAAAATATTGTCATTTCAGCATGTTATCAGTGTAAGAGTTATTAATACAATGTTTTGAATTCTCTAACTCTTGAGAATATGGCATGCATTTCATACTTACAGAGCACCTCACTTTTACTGGCAACATTGCAAGTGCTCAGTAGCCACGTGTGGCTAGAGACTATTGTAGTGGACAGGGCAGCCCCAATGGGTAGGATATAAGAGAAATTGAGACCCTATTTCTGTTCAGTAGAATTACAATAGAGGTGTGGAGTGAGTTGTTGTTGTGTCATTGGGTTGATTCCAACTCATAGCAACCTTATAGGACTGAGTAGAACTGCCCCTAGGGCTTCCCAGGCTGTAATCTTTACAGGAGCAGATTGCTGGGTCCTTTTCCTGCAGAGCTGCTGGGTGGGTTCAAACCACTGATCTGCCGCTTAGCAGCGGAGTGCTTTAACCATTGTACCACCAGATCCAAGCACACATCTATACCTAGCTATCATTTATATTTCCTATCTTTCAATCTACTTATTATATTCCCAACCTTGTATAAAGTATCTAAGGTGGCTTGCATTAGGATATACCAATTTTTTGGAAAAAACAAAGGACAGTTATTGGTTTCACGTTTAGTTTATTTAAAGTCTTTCATTAGTGTTGGGTGCCATGAGTCGATTACGATGCATAGCGCCCCTGTGTATTACAGAGTAGAGCTGCCCATAGGATTTTCTTCCTGCTGCCTTTATGGAAACATAAGGCCTTTCTTCTGGTGCTACTGGTGAGTTCGAACCGCCAACCTGATTTGCAGCCGAGTGCCACCAGGGCTCCTTATTTGACATCAGTGACGCTTTCATTGCCAACTTGATCTTGTGAAAAGATCAAACATTTTTGGTTAAGCTTCATTTTAAAAACTTGGGAGTGACTAGAGTGCATTTGAGTGGGGGAGAAGAATTAATTTTGCTCGTCAACTTTGCACATCAACTAGACAGCAGAGCTGGGAGAAGAAATCAATTTTTTTTTTTTCTCTCTAGGTGCATTTGGGATGCTGTAGTCTATGTCTGGAATCCCTCCATTCTGTCAAATGCATATCCTGTTTGTGTCTCATAAACAGAATAAAGCTGATTACATAACCGGGTCTCCCGGGCAGGTGCGAAACTATTTTTAGAGAAGAGGCATCACTGCCTGAATGTGGATTAAAAAAACACAAAACACCAAACATGTGGGTTGTTAGTCAACGTGGAATAGGTGATGGTGACCACATTTCCTCTGTAGTGGATAAACACAGCATAGGAAATATCAAGGCTGATGGAACTAGGAATGTTGTCTGTTGTTTTGAGAACAAATAAATCTTTCTCTTGCCTGGTGGCAGAGGAGGTAACACCTCTCTGCTTGAAATTCCTGAGACTTAAAAAAAACCTTATTTTTGGTGCTGCATGATTTTTGAATTTTAGGTCCTGCCCCAGATGTGGTTTCAGACAAAATCTATCAGATCAGCAAAACGATCGAGGAGTACGCCATATGCCCTGACCTTCGCATCGACCTGTCCCGACTAGGACGGCAAGAGTTTGACTTGGAGAACAAATTCAAGCCATTCAGAGGTAACAGAGCCCTTGGGTTTTAAAGAAGATGTCATAATAACTGAGGATGCGGAGACCATGGTCTGCACAGGGGAGTGCCCTCAGGAAATGATTCAGTTGTCAAGCTCCCAGGTGACCCCACATTGGGGGAATGTAGGGTAGAGAGAAGTAAGAGCAGCCAGATATTCAGATCTGGGAACAGCAAAAACCGATCTCCAAACTCCGCATCTTTCCCTTTTTTTATTATT